CCCCAAAACCCCAAAACCCCAAAACCCCATTAGATTAACATAGATTAAAAATTCAAGCGATAAAAATATTTGTTTAAAGATATCAATGTAGCAAATTAAAATTTTAGTGAATATTTCGACCATTTTGATAGAATTTGCTTTTTCATCATTTATAGCATTTTCAGCCGAGTTATTGTTTGATAATCATTACCAATTTATCATGTTAAATCACAAATTTTACTGTTTATCAACTTCTTTAAACAAATTATTTTGGTATAAAGCTTTTACAGCTTTCACTGAAATACTTTTAATTTAGGCTTTTTTATTCATTTTATTTGGACTCATTTCAAAAGCATTGGTATTATTATTCAAGCAAATTTCTCTTGATTAAAGCAAATTTTTAAATAATCTTTAATCTACTTTGTTTTTATGTTGCTAAATTTCTAGTTATTTCACACATTACTTCAACTATTTAATTCTCTCTAAATCATTATCTTAAATTCTAATCTTTGATTTCTACATGGTCAAATTTTGGAATGGAATTTTAAAACCAAATATGTCAGGCTCCACCTTTATTTATTTTTCAATGTTCAAAATATTTTAAGGGAGAAAAGGAAATAGTTATTATTAATACTTTGATGTCATTACGCCTTATAAAAGCTCAAAATTCTTGAGCTATTGAAGTATTTTTCTGATATCTAATTATTATTCCAATCGCTTTTAGCCTATCTCGAAATGATAGATATTTATTCGATGCTACTTTGAAATCAACGAAGGGTTTGATTTAAATGCTTTGAAGAAGTTTAAGAATTTGCTACGGTAGTAATTAAATTGAAATTAGTTTAGCCTTAAAATGAATTCTACTATTTGAGCTACAAGTATTGAAGAATTTCCAGTGGCATTATATAGAGATTCATCTAAAGTAACTTTCAAATTGCTCTCGTTCTAGTTAAATTTTTAGTCTTCAAACCACTCTGATATCTATGAATTTTAAATTTTACCTACTTCATCTTGATCAATAACCTTATCTCGAGAGTTAAAATTACTGTCTTGTTTAATTTAATGCTGGAATTCCTATTCTTGGAAAGAATTGCTTATTGAGTTTTTATTCTGGTCTTCGTTATTATAGACTAAATAGCTTTTCTTAATTAGACTTTGAAAAAAGAGATTCTTTTGAATACCACCAACTAATATTTAAGCAATTACAAATATCACACTCATAAAGCCTCCAGTAGCGGTGATTGCATCAAGAATGCTAAAAGCCTGCCTCTAGACAGTTTCTGACTGGTTTGATATAAAAAATCTAATTGCTAAAAGAACATCATTGTATGCTGCGGACTCAAAGTCGTACTCACTCTTAGTAGTAAAAAATTATCTCTCCTTATAATCAAGGTGGCTTGAAAAAAAGGAATCCTTGGTTTAAGCAAAATTTCTTTTTATCGATTTTACAGACATAATTCTCTTTTTATCCTTAAGACCGAACATAAATGAACTTAATTAATTCTTTATAGGTTGAGAGTAGTCATTTTCATCAAAGCTCTAGAACATGTAAATCAATTATACATTTGTTGTTAGAGTTTCTTTGGAAATTTCTGTTTCATTTTTACATTTCAAATTTTTACCTGGGAACATAGAATCCAGATCTTCTTATTTGCATTTACTGACCAAAGCGACTATTGCTTAGCTTTGCTTACTAAATTCCGATCCATACATCTTATAATTGAAGGATTTTTCGAGACAAATGTATTAATTAATAACATCATATTTAGCTCCTTAGTTTGAACCAAACCTATCTTAACCGCATTTATCAATTTAAACTGGCATTCTTTTCAATTTTTCCTCATATTATTCTACAATTTAATAAGATATTGAGAAGTATTAGTAAATATTTTCTTCGAATTCTTGTTCACCATTTTTAAAGAATTAAAGTCCAATATCAAAATTAGTCCTATTTATATAAATGGGATCAGTGTTTGATAATAGATCTGTATACTAAGTTGATCTAGTTATTGATCCTTTTCCTCATTAGAAGACATCAACCAACTAAAATATGAAGAAGATAGATATTAATAACTAAATTCCCAAAGTGATGAGTCCTCCAAAGTAAGTTTTATAGGTTGATGAGTTCTTGTAAGTTAGAGTTATTGGGTGACCAAGTCTATCTATTTGCTTGACTTAATTCTTGAACCTATTCCATTTGTTTTTATAGCTTTCCTTTAAAATATTTTGCATTAAAATTAACTTTATTTATACAACTTAATTTCATATTTTCATACTTCTAATTTAAGAGTGAGGGGTTTTGGGGTTTTGGGGTTTTGGGG